CCTGCCCTCGCTCATCAATTGCCTGCTAGACCCAAAAGCACACCACCTTCCTGCAGCTCCTGACAAGGCGAGGGCAGAGCGGGCTGCTCTCCACGCACGCCGCTGGGATCAGGTGTGCGCTTTTCTGCCGAGGATTTAGGTCGCAGGACCTGTGTGCCGAACGCCGCAGAAGTGCGGGTATCTAAGTATTATGAAAATAAATGGGTCATACACCACTGAGCTAACAACCACACCACCCCCAAGCCGGGCACTGAATGACTGTGCAGGGCTCTGCCGGAGGGAGAGGAGAGGTTGAGCCAGCAGTGAAAACAAAACTGATGTGGTGAGATGGATTTTACTTTTCACTGGTTTAGGTTACAGAGAAAGTTGGTCTTGCTGTCACCGTCTCTCAGGCTTTTCTGTAAAAAACCAAAAAAATGCAATGTACAGGCTGGTAAGATGACCTGTGGAGATGGGCTGGCATCTCACCCCACCGGGAAAGGGGAAGTGCCGCTGGCCCTGGGTGGAGGGAGGGCTGTGACTCAGTCCCTTGGGCTGACACACACACACACACACACCCGCGCAGTCACCTGCCACAGCAAAAAATAAAAGTCCTCGCCACAACACGGCGGCCACACAGGGAACGCCGAGTAAACAGATCAATGATGCTGCGTGCCCACGCAGCCCGTGGCACCGCTGGGGTGACGAACAAACAAACCTGTGGTCAACGGCAGCAAGGCGAGAGGTGTCAGAGCAATCTGGGTTCAGATGGCACACTACACTGCAACAAACTCCGCTGTCCTCTGCTGCTGTTAACAGCTGGACACAAGCAGAGCGCTCCTCCCAGCCACACAGCCCGCGGCCATCGCATGTGCCTGGGTGGGGATGCCTCCAACACCGGGGTCTTGGGCAGAAACCTCCAGGAAGGGACACTGGCTCCTCACCCACACATGTGTGCACGTGCAGGCGCCCTCCCTGAAGCCACACCAGCACTTTTCAGGACATGAATTTGTCCAGATACAAATTTTATTTTAAAAAATTGTATACTTACATATATATATACATGTATACAACTTTTATAAATATATTTCATTTTTATATACACAGACACATCTGCACATATAAATAAAGTGATATTTAGTCAACAGATGTGTTTGTATCAAAAGCTGTCCCTGGCCACCAGCCTGGCTGAGGCATGGAGGCACTGACAGTGCTGAGAAGCACCTGATCACTTCGAGGGACTGACACAGAGCTGCTAGCAGCGGGCAGTGGACAGGATGCCATGGGAGCCTGTGAAGGTCCCGGAGGCAGGAAACACTCCACAAGCTGGTGGCACAAGGTACAGAGTCCTGATATGCCAGTACCATAAAATGGGTAAGAAAGTGCCTTCACCCCTATGAAAACAGCACTCCAACAGGAAAATGTACCAGAAAGATCATGAAACATAGACATGGCCACATCTCTCATCCAGTAAGATAAACCTGACAATGTCCTCAAGAATGGTCTTGGCACTTGAGAAGAGGGTTTGCTACTGATGGTTAGGAGTGTTTGGAAAGTCAATGTACAAAGTGATACAATTTTGCCTTCAGAAATCTGCTTTTCTTCTGAATTCTGTCAAGTTATCTGACCCTTAAGTGCAGATTTTAAAATACTTACATTTTTCCCAGGCTGTGGTGGTAGGCGGGTGACAGACATTTAACCACCAATATCTGCATATTTAAAATTTTACATTATTTACATCTGCCTAGTGATGGGCATAGCATAGATTTCAAGAAATCTTTCTGAATTTTTTTAAGTACTCTGAAGAGCTCATACCTAACAAATATGAAATTTCTAGACAGAACTTTCTGAGTTTTGGCTTGCCTTATTTTTTTATCCTGTTTAAACCACTTATAGGCCCTTGCTGAATTCACAACATTGGATAAACAGTACCAATCTGGTCTTTTTATGAGATGCAGAAGGACATTGATTGGGATGTTATTTTCTCTGCTTTTAAAGGAAAATACTCAGGGCTAAAACAAAATGAGAAATGTGAGAATATGGATACTGCTAGGAATAGTCACCTGTCTCCACTCAGATGCCAGCAGCCCTGCCCCAGCAGCTGCTCCAAGACACTGCTCTGTACATTCTCTGTCATTTGTGACTGTTTGGGATAGCAAATGGAAAGAGCCTCTCAGCAGAGAGCACAGCTTCTCCCCGACTGTTGTACTCCCACATTGCAATACACTTAGTCTAACCCACCCAGGATTAATTCCCAGAGAACCTGGAGAAATGGGTTTTTCTTTACTACCTTGGCACATGCAGCATAACAGGGTTTTGCAACATGCTCTGTCAGAACAAGCAAGGGACATTCTGCTTTGAATTCACACATCAGTAAGTACCATTTTTATGGAGATTTTATCCATCAGCATCCTAGTAGTATTATAGAAACAAAATAATAAATGGAAGGGGGAAAAGGAATACTTATTTATCCCACTGCACCGTGGGAAAAGCAACAAGAACACAGTTGTTACAGCTGGGTCAACCTTGTGCAACTGCTTTTTCCAGCAGGGCTAATTAACAAGTGAAAGTCCATTTCTTTCTACCGAAATTGTTATAATGAGGTAATTGTTACAAGCAGAGTCTGTCATCAAAAACAGCCAGACAGTGGGAAACAGAGAAAACAAATAAGCAAGGGCAGCTTGCCCTCATGTCTACCTGTGCCGGCGTGGATCTGCACACACGATGGGTGCAACCCCAGCCAACGGGCTGTGAGCTGATGCATGGGTTTTCTAGGAGCTAGAGTTTAAAACACACCATGTTTTAAAAATGATGCACAGCTCAAGCACATAATGACAGTTAAAAGAGAAAGAAGAAAGAAAAAAAAGGAAAAGCACATATTTGATGATGACTCCTATATCCTCATACTGATTTTCAAGTTCATTTGGTCCTCAGACCTGATTTTGTTCCTTGAAAAGGAGACATCTGATTATTTGTAGCACAACAAAAAGCAAGACAAAATTTCCCATGCACTTATTGGAATGAGTGAGGTTTCTTCTTTCCCATTTCTGCCTCCTTTTTCAAGTCCCCCACCAAGGATGATATTTTTGAAGTTAGTTCCTCTGGAAGTGTTTTAAATAGTGAATTTGCAAGATGCCTAATGATAAGCTTTTCCAACATCATGAGAAAAGCCTGCAAAAATTTGTGAATAAGGCTTCCAAACCTCATGGGAATAGTGCTAAGTAGGACTAATGAAAAACAAGCTTTTACTGCCTGCCTAGCTGTTACAACTCATATTTTCAAGTCTTCTTCCCTTAAGACAAGCACTAAAAACAAATTTCAAGCCAGATCCAAAATTTTCCTGTAGTCAGGCGAATCTGCTAAGGGGGATTTGATTAATAACTGCACCAGAGAATGCCAGACCCTCAAGGAAATGGCAACACTCTCCCTTTTTTGGAAAACTAAATCAAACTCACACCTTGTAAGGCCTCTTTGACAGTGAATTCTGTTACTACCCAGACTTTCCCTACTGCCTATGACTTCACCATTGTTTTTGCGGATACTCATCACACCAGAAAAAAAAAATTCCTCTCTTTAAAAACTGAATTTCCTTATGCATTAAAGAATGCAATCCTCCTTTCGCAGAAGATGTTTCTTTTTTTTAGTAAATCTTTTAGAGTCACATAAGCAAACAAAGTACTTCAAGTAAAGGTATATTTATAATGTAAATGCTTTGGTTCCAAAATACTCATAGATTTTTAGAAGTAGTATTACATACAGATCAGTTCGAAATACTAAGAATGGTATTAGTAAGCATTCAATAATAACTGACCAGGAAGGAGTGGTCTGCTTCACTGACCTGTTCTGACTAAACTGCATCATATGCATTTGTTACTGCAGTGAACAAACAAGGGTGTTAATGTGCACAGTGCCACACTGTGAACCACAATTTTGTATTACCTCCTTTTGCCAAGCTGCTCTATAACACCATCCCAAAGATAAAAACCTCTTAACCACAAATCGATTTGGTTTTGTTTTAAAAATTGATGAAATTAAGTTGTGTTGAAGCCTTTCCCCAAACTTGTCAGCTCTGGGGTGTCCCACCCTCCATAGAGCACAGATCATCACATCCATGCCATCCTTGTAGTGGTCCAGAAACCAGAATCAGGGTTAGAACTGCTGACAAACTGCAAAGTGTCAAATCAGTTTCTCCCCACTGATTCTATGCCAGGCTGTGCTGTGGAATGTTTCAGAGGAAGACTCAGTCATTGTGGGCTCAGGGATGAAATACGTGCAGAGGATCATAAGCTACTCCCCATCTTGGGTGAAATATCAAAGCACAACAAGCACAAGCACTATTCCTGCTGAGAAGTTAGGAAGGGATCTGCAGTCCCCTCAATCTGTCCCTAGTAGATTTATGCACAACTTTCTTTACCCTCCTACTGTCAGGTGGAGCATTGATTCCACCTGGAAGGAGCTGGAGGTAGCAATGAAGATACTTCTGATGTGTACAGAGCCTTTTGGGACAGAAGGCATGGGGATGAAGCAGCTCCTCTAAGGGAAATACTCCAGAAACCCGAAAGGAGAAGTGTATGGATTTTATCATGGGAGAAATAGAAGGGTGCCTGCAGTCCTGTTGGGCAGATGATGGCCTCCAAACCGACGTGGAGCACGTGCAGCTTTGGCAGAGTACTCCATAGTAAGTGTACACACACGGAGCCCGTCGCAGAGAAAAACAAAGCGCAGTTAGAGCAGCGGGGCGAACAGAGCTATTTTAAGCACTTCTCGCTATGGTTTACCCTCGTAGCAGAACACTTAGAAAAGCCGTCAAAATGACAATCACTATTTAGGTTAAAAAAGCAAGTAACTACTTCAATAACAATTTATTCACCACCTAATGTTTGCAGTTGAATTACAGCTCTTACAGTGCTTTTCTAAAGTGTGATATTTACTGCCTCTACCTTGCCTTCCCAAGACCTTTTTTCTTTCCTTTTTTCTTTCGTTTTTTCTTTAAATAGAAAGGAATTGGAATCATGACTTACATGTAACTTTTCTAGGTTCTGTGCTGGCTAAAATGTTCTCACGATGCAGGGAACAGGATCAGTGGAGAAATTAGGAGGCTGCAGCAATCCATTAAGAAGTGACCCTCCAAAGTGCTGTAGGGCAGTCTTCTGGCAACTCAGTTGGAGCAACCTAAAATAAAATAAAGGCACGAATTTAAAAAAATTAAGCACTGAATCTTTACAAACACCCTCTTTGTTTTTTCCTTCCAAAAAAACATGTTGAGGCATCTTTTTTCTTAAATATAGAAGGTCTTTATGCCAAACATGACAATTACTTCATGTCCATTTCACACTTTGTCAAACCTTTAAGCTGTAAATACCTTCCTACAAAGACCATGTTTTCCTTTCATTTGCATAGTATGAGGCCCCTGAAAAGAATTACTGAACAGATAAACTAATATTTCTGTGATTATTCCACCAGATCACACTGCAGGTACGTGCATTGTTACGCATACATACGAAGGAATTCTTTACTGTGATAGTGGTGAGGCACTGGAGCAGGCTACACAGAGAAGCTGTGGATGCTCCATCCCTGGAAGTGTTCTAGGCCAAGGCTGGATTGGGCTTTGAGTGACCTGCTCTAGTGATAGTTGACCCTGCCCATGGCAGATGGGTTGGAACCAGATAAGCTTTAAAGCTCAGCCTAAATCACCCTGTGGTTCTATGAAACTGCACATCACATCAGAAAGGAGTTATAACAAAACCAGTAAATTTATCTAGTAGGCTTTAAATAATAATTACTACTGGCTTTTGTCAAAGCTTTGCATTGATTTTATTAAGGAATTTACGTTAGGAACATAAAATTTGTTCCTTTGTTTCTCCTTTACTCTGGTGAGCTTCAAAGAAGAAACACCATCAGAGTAATTTGGTATTCCTGGGTTGATGCGATGTGTGTCGTAATCCTGCAGCCACCCTAAAGCAAAGCTACCTGTCACGCCAGTTCATGTCAAAAGAAAACTGGAGAGAGAATGAAATGTTCATCTGCCCACAGAAAATTCACTGTGCTGTCACCTCTGTGCAAGGGACTCAGGGCTCAGTCCCTGGAGCGGAGGCACTCAGGGATGGGGAAGGCTGGTGAGAGCAGGGCTGGGGCCAGGGGGCTGGAGCAGGGGTGGGTGAAACCCCCAGCAGCCAAGTCCCAGCATCACTACACAGCCCAGATCCCACAGTGAGCACAATCCCAATCCCAGACTCTGGAAAAGGCTTCCCCCATCTATCAAGGAAGCAGTCACACTCTGAAGTGGTTGGGGAGGAAATACTTGTGGAAGGAGAAGTAATTAGCTTTAAGCTACAGGGGTTCTCAAGTTGAGGTTTTCAAGTTGCCAGTGCCCAACACTTTACTGTTTTCCTGGAAAAAAACACTGGAATGCTTAACTAGTATTTACTTGAGTGAAGTTGGCAACTGGGAGTGGAAAGGAAGATGGTTTTGTTTTGAACAGAAGAGGACAGCAGCAGTACAAGCAGTGGCATGTATCTGTCTTCACAGGATCACTGCAAAGGCTCTGTCTGCAGGATTACCACAAACTAAAGCCAGATAAAGAGGGAAGTGAGGAAGAGGAAAATATATCCCGAAAATTTAGATTTTTTTAAAAAACTACTCTTATTTTTTTAAAATATGCAAAATTAACTCTTCAGTAAAAAGTTCTGTTTTCTCAAGAGATGTCTGCTATGTCTATTTATTATGACTAATGCCTGTTTATGACTCCATAAAAAAGTGGGGGGAAAAACCAAACCAAAACAAAACACAGTGCAAGTAAGAGAGATTTGGTGGTTATTTTTCTAAGTATGCTGCTCCTGGTAAAAAAAGTTCAGTATTTTCTGAGCAGTGATCCTACTGCATTTTACTCCAAGTCTTGTTGAGAATTGGTTCGCTTATGGAAAGCAGGTTATTTCCTCTGGATGGCACCCTTCTAGATGGTTTACCAACAGATGCTCAAACTCCTGCTACCTTTAAGGATTACCTAATTAGGCACTTGAAAAGAATCATGAGGCTGTGCTAGGAACACAGTGCTTGTGTCTCTTTAGTTTATACAATTTTTTCCAACTGGGCATAACATTCATTTACAGACTGTAAGAGTACCAAATATTTATGGTCACCAATATACATTATTTAAATTGCCTATAAACCTAAAAATATAAACTCTAAATCTGTTCAGTCATAAATCACTGGTAGAACAAAAATAACTGTTGCTCACTCAGTGGCCAAAGGACTAAAACCAGGGAGGTCTCTGTGTTTTCAAGGATAACTTAGTTTCCTGAGCAAAAATTGTACATGCCATGGTGTATCAGAAGAAAAAGAGAATAAACAGAAGTTGGGAATAGGGAAACAAGAAAAAAAAAAAGGGGCATGGCGGTGGGGGGGGAAAGAAGACTTTCAGCACCCCTGAAGCTTTTCTGAGAAGGTCTGATTGATGTTCACTGCTGTAGAAAGCATGAGGCTGCATCCCAAACATTTCATTCCCTTCTGCGAATGTCTCACTCCATACCTCTCCCCATGTTCCCCAGATATTCTTGCCCTATGCAGGATGATCCAGCCAGCATCAGGTTTTACACATGATCTAAAAGACTAAAGCAGGAATCTCTCTGCTCAGGGGTCAGCTTAGGGTAGAATGAAACTTAACCCCTGCCTATGCTCAGCACGAGGGCTTCTTCATGCTTTCCATTCGACAAAAGACTTTTCCTGAAACAGGCGAAGTATTAAAGGCAAAGCTGTTACTACGGCTGCAAACTTACAGGAATACATAAAAACTGAGTTCATATGAAGAGCCAATGGTGCACCTACTGAAGAGGAATTTCAGCAGTTTAACAGGCTGATCAGCCAGGTTTACAGCATTGGGAAAGAGCTGGACCTTAGGCAGGGTTAGATGTACTCCTGCTCCAAGGCTTGCTCACATCAAGGTCTCAGCTCTCAGCACAGACCTGCACACGTGGGCCATCAGTTAACAGGGTCATGAGAGGCCACAAAATCACTCTCCTACACCAGCTTGAAGAACCAACTCCTGCAGTCTTGGAGGTTGCAAGAAAACCTTATAGTTATTCCAAAAAGAAGCATCTGCCTTAAGAGCTTGCAAAGAAATTTAGAAAAATAACAATACTTCCAACTAGACCGTGTAAATCTGCTTGATTTTTTAAAAAACTTATATTATTTAACAACCTCTTGTACGTTTTTTGAACCAGGTTACCTTCTTTCTCCCCTTTTCTGATGGCTTCCAATACCACCTGGCAGCTAAAATTAGCACTGAGAAACGCAAATGCAAAGGAAGACACACCAGACACTCTAACTGGCAGAAGAATGCACGAAGTTGAAAAACCATTTGCTTCAATGAAACACCTTCCAGTTTGGATTTCTGTTATACAGAGAGAGTGTTCAAAGGAGAGGTTTTGTTTTTAACAAGGCTTTAATGCTTAAAAGGAGGAAAACTGGCAAGTTCTTCTGTTTGCAACAAACAAACCAAGAAAGGTGAATTGAGAAGGGCATGATGAATGTACGTGGGTATTACTCCACTTGTCATGAAAGATGTTTCAAGCACAGAAAATTGTGTAGTCGTGCCTGGAGATGCTGGGTGGGCCATGAGGGAAGAGAGCAACAAACACACAAATGCAACAAATACACAGTGGGTTGTTTATCCTGATGTTCAGCACAGGTGGGTAAAATAAGGGCTAAGTAAAATGACCCACACAAGGAGACCAGTTGGTGAGCTTCTCTCAGATGTGGACAGGAGGAAAAAATATTTAAGGAACGCTGAGCACCTGTGAGCTGGGAGCGGTGAGCACAGGTGTGCAAACAGAGCTGGTGTTTTCTGAAGCAGTGCCTCACCTGGTGGAGTGCAATGATGCTACTTACACAACTATGTACAGAAATTGATCCCAGTGAAGTCAAGGATCCCACCTTGTTACATGCAATACCCTCACAGATCAGCAAATGTGTTTTCCTTACGTTTTGTGTGCAATTTCTTTCTGGTTGAAGTAGCTTCATTGGAACATTTGTAGCTGGAAGGGTCGCCTGAGGCTGAGAAGGCATTTGCAGTGCTTCTCACATCTAATGCATGATCTCCCTGAAATCTGTAAATTAAACCCAAGATGATATCGATACCTATGTCTCAAAAGAGACATGGTCTGCTTCACCCTCAGTGCTTCACCCTAATTTCCTCAAAATTACCTGTGTAGTTCTTCTAAAGGGAAAGAACACACTCAAGAAAGAACTCCTGCTTGTTCCCACGTGCACTGTTTAACCAGGGGCTGCCAAAACAGGAGTCAAAAGGGCACAACAGCTTCTTTCCCAGCATCCAGAGGTGGGATGAAGAAAACCAATGCAACCAAGGAGGTGTGGACCACAAACAGAGAGGTACCCACCCATCCCAGGGCTGCGAGGACCAGCTCTGCAGTGCGTCCCTATCTGGGTAAGCTGTGTCAGCAGTCAGAGGAGATGAGATAGAGTTATTCCCTCAAATAATGGCAAAATGATGTCAGGAACCACCCTAGCCAGAAACTGTGACTGAAGTCACCAGGAGAATCTTCAATACAACCATTGCTGGCTGACTGGCTGCAGGGGAAGGCAGCTGCTGCTGCCCTGGAGCGCTCCAGAGTCTGAAAACTGGATTTTCACCAGCTACACCTAACAAAAGCAACGAAACTTAAACAGAAAACTTTCAGAGAAGCTGAGGAATGTGCATAGGGAGAATTTCCCACCCTTCCTTGTCCTCTGGTTGCAGTTAGGTCTGTGACACATCAACCAGGCAGGGCAAGAAGGCATAAGGCTGCAGTTCAAGAGTACTGCCACAGGAACTTGTAAATCTTTTTATGTAAAACCTGAGTTATTTTCTCATTGGAATATACTTGACTTAAAGCCACAATCAAAAATATTTTATCTTGGGGTTATGACTCATGAAAGAATGGCTAGGTGTGAAAGGAAAGTTAATATATTCTGTGAGAAAAACCCCCTCCCCAGCAAGGTTATCAGATGACATGAGTTGAATATTTATGCCCTATGCAGTAAAACCAATAGACAGCAAAAGCCACAGCCTAATACTTTGTGTCAGATCTGATGAAAATTCAGATACCTAGCTTATTTCCCCTCAAGGGCTGGAAATTATGGTTAACACACATGCATACAGGAGAAAATGAGATGGT